TGAACTCTCTTGTCAGCAGTTATTTACTTATAAACATGTGACACTCAGCTGTTCATCTTGTGGGAAATGATGGAACTTAGTGCTGAGAGAAGAGAATTTGGTACCAGATACCTTAGCCATTTAACTCTTCCTTGTGGCCTTTCACAAGTTTGTCCCTGTAGAGTTCACTTTGCAATAATGTAAAATAATTAGTATTGTTATATGCTGAATATTTGGTTCCTTGCAAAATTCACTGGTTGAAATTACTATGAAGTATGATGCTATTTGGTTATGAAGCCTCTGAGGAAGTAATCAAACTTTAAGATATAAGACATAATTCGGCTCTAAAAATGTGTTTATAAGGAGATAACCAGAAAGTCTCATTCTATGGCCCTAGCACACACTGAGGAAAGGCCATATAAACACACAGTAAATGGTGACCATTTTGGTAACACCTTGATCTTGAACTTGTTTCAGAAGTATGAAGAAGTTATTGCTTCTTGTTTAAAGCTACCTGGTTTATGTATTTGACTAATAAAAGTAAGTATTTTATCCATTTGTGGGGGAAATATATCTAGTGTCAAGCCTAGTTGTAGTTATATATGTGCTATTAAATCTTGCTTAACAAAATTAACTGTCTTCCATATTAAGCCAAATTGACTATAGGATTTGCAGTAATCTACAATTGACCACAAAAATCAGAGCAGCTTGTGTATGATGCTTGTCCAAACCATATTCTCAATAAGAAATGCCCTAATAGCCTACCAGTACTAGAACTTAGCATTATTTTTTCTTGCAGTTGTACTTTTCCTGATAGTCTTCTGTATTTGATACATGTTGTTCATGTGGTTTATTACTTGAATCATCAAGTTGTCACATGAATTATGTTTTTTAACATAACATGGAAGTTTTAATAGATACAACAGCCAGGGAGATTTCCATTGGTTCATAGAAAACTATAGGAAATGTGGGAAAAGTCCCAGACTCCAACTTGAATTATGTACTTAGCAGAGGTTAAAAGTTAATGGGAAAAATTTCGGCCTCATTTGTCAAATTCTACATTGAAATAAGAACTGTGATTTGATTTGGATTTTGAAATTACCAGCTGAAACAAAGTTTATCCCTAAAACCTAAAGACATCTTTATTTGTTCTCCCTAAAATATACAATATCTGCCAAGATATTCAGGCTGATTTGAAAATATACAACATTAGCTATGCACATTGTTAAACATACTGTTCTAGTGACATTTAACAGTGTTCAGTAATTGGCTTAATGAACAGGTGTACAAGTATATTAGTTATGCAGATGTTAATTTGCAGTAACATGTGCTTCCTGATTTTGGAGGGGGGGTTCTTGTATAAACTACAACTAGTAAGATTTGTTCCTCAATTAGGAAATCACTACAAAGTGTGTGTGTGTGTGTGTGTGTGTGTGTGATTCCTACCATTAGGACCATTAGTCTTGTTTAATGTGCACTGAACTTCAGGAACACTCTTGATAATGCCATTCCTATTGCTTCAGGTACTATGCAGGTGTCGAGGTAAAATCTACTTTTCTGTAGGATGCTTTACTTTGCAGCTGTAGGCAGCAGGGCAAAGGGGAAACTTTGCAGCTGTCCTATGTAGCATGAATGAGAAGACAGAAGTGCAATCTCTTTCTGCACATTGCATCATCTTTCCCTTTCAAGATTTTGTAAACAAATTTGCTATTCTGTACAAAGGCAATTGAACACACTTGAATAGTTTGTTGCTTGCCAAACTGAGTAAACTTTACCTACATTTAAAAGATTACCCTCTTTCCTATGTTGATTGTGATTCCTCCATTTGTTCCTCATGATTTCCAAGGCTAGCAGTTTATAAACTGCAGAAAGAGACTGGAACTTTTATATGCTTTAGTCTGGAGTTTTATTTCTATTTTGAAAGAGTAGAAAATTACGAACACTAATGTAGCAAAGCCATAGAAGTACCACCTAGAAGGACCAGATGATACCTTAAGACCTTTACTAGGACTGCTTGGTGAACTTGTAAATGAATACCATTGAGTCTACCTTTAGGAAACTATCTTATGGGGATTTTTGATATGTTAAAAATTAACAATAATTTTAAGATTATGTATTACCAAATGAGTCATCAAATGTTACCCATTTAAGATAGCTTAAGGCATAATTATAAATATCTGGGTCAAATGTTTTATGCACTCACTAATGTACCAGAAATTAAAGATTATTTCTAAATATTGCTCATATTAGATTGTAGAACGCTTATACACATATTTTCTTTATGTATGATGATGAGCATCCCTTGTTTATAAAAGAATAAATTTATAATACAATTTCATGTAAATACCCACATATTTAAGGAAATACAAGAACATTCATTGGCTAACCCTAAAACAAAAAATAACTCTTCAGTGTTATCCAAATAACTTTCAGTCATTACAGCTTTGGTTTAATTAATTCTTAAAAGTTTGTGTGCATTAGAATCATATGGGCTTAAATTGGTTTATGAAAAGTGGCATTCTGAGATCACTAGAAAAGAGAGTTTTTAACAAATAATGGCTTTAATACATTCTGTTCTGGACATTTGCTGTCTCATCACTATTGTTTGAATTCTCTATCTGAGCCTCTGGTATTGATATGTAAGGAATATTAAAACCAAAATAAATAAATAAACAGGGATAAAAACAAAAATAGCCATTGTTTTGGAAAACGTGCCTAGTTTGGGAACTATTTTAAACTTGCTGCACTACTTTGATTTTCAAAACTGTAGTTCCCACTGATGGAATGCTTAGTGCGTTCTAGACTCAGGGTTTTAGACAAGTTATATTCATCAAGTAAAATAGACTACAACTCCAAAGGAAACTATGAGCTACAGATATGTAGGCTATCTAATTGTAATGTCGAAAATTTTGTTCATTAGAAAATCAAAGAGCTCAGACTAGATTTTAATGAAAAATAATAGCTAAAGTAGTGGTTCTCAATCTTCCTAACTCTTTGACCCTTTAATACAATTCCTCATGCTGTGGTGACCCCCAACTATAAAATTAGTTTTGCTGATACTTCATAACTGTAATTAATTTGGCTATTGTTATAAATTGTAGTGTAAATATCTGATATGCATGATGTCTGATATGTGTCCCCCAATGGGGCGGTGACCCATGCAGGTGGAGAACCAGTGACCTAATGTATGTAAAAGGACATTAATGAACGTTCTGTTCACCTCTCAGCCAGAACACCATTTATTTATAAATAATAATCCCACATCCTTTGTCTTACAGTATTTCAACCTGTATGTTCATGTCTAATTAGTTTTCTGTAGCAGAGTTTAAGGCCTATTGAAGTTAGGAACATTTTCTTGACTACTTCTTTGATTGTGTTAAATTTTCTGAATGTGCTTCCAGAGGTAATTTTGATATAATTTAAATTTTCTTTATTGACATCAGAAATAGCTATTGAACTGTCATTTCGTTCTTTATGCAGTTGTCTTAAGCTGAGAACAGCTTAAATTAGAATAAATTGAAATGTTGACTGTTGCATAAGAAAGTCACTGTACTTTCAGAAAGATCCTTTTAGGAACGTTTATGATGGCTTTTAAATAAATATACTAGAAGTAATTTTTCTTTCACCAATCCCAATGATTGTGTTTTGGCAACATTTCAAAGAACTTGATACCTGTCACAAAAATCATAATTTTCAAGGGAATTATTATCTAGTCTCATCATACTGTGTCTATTCTTGTATTGATCATTCTGTTAAACCTTAGAACATTTAATATTGTGTTCTATAGTTAATTTATTTCATGTGTAACTAGTCTGCTAAGGTAACAGAATTTGTTTATGTTAGACCATTAATGCAAAGGAAATCTAAGGATTGGTAAAATTTTTGACGAGTTCTTTGAAATTGCTCAAGTGTCACTGAGGCTGATATCTTTTCTTAAAAAGATATATTATTGAGTGTCACCTTTTTACTATTAAAGGAAATAATGTCTGTGCCAACTCTTTCACCAAGCTTAAATGAGTTAAAATAATAAAAATCAATGATCATAATTGTAAAAGTCAGGGATGAATGAAATTTAGCAGCATGGATTTGAGCACAAGAAAGCCCTTGGTTGAAAAAGTAGGTTGGTGTTACATGTCTAACATGATTTAGTGATCCCAATGCCTTCAGCCTTGTATTTATCAAGGAAGAAGTAAACCAAAAGTACTTGCGCAACTGGTGAAGTGTTTCTATGCAGATGGGACTTGGGGACTTCACTTCATGCTTCATTTTCTTAGCAGACAGCCGCAGGCTTTGACACTAGTGTCTTTGAAGGGTGAATAGGGCCTAATGACTCTCCTTGATGCTACACTCCTTGTTTCATTTCTTTCAAACATTTGAAGAAACAGTGAATAATATTGTTCCAAGAATACTTTTTAAAATGGTAACTAAGACAAAACTCACAGACTCAAAATATCCATCTTTGAGGATATGTAGTTTTGTGTATGCAAATAACTGGTACTCTGGTACAACTCACAAATGCTTCAAACCTATTCTTCATATCAGTCTCAATCGGGAGGTTTCTGTTGCAATCTGTTTAGCATCTTAAGGTACCTTAGGTGCTTTAAAGCAGTTTCACTGAGTTAAATGCATATCTAAATATTAACATGTTTTAGGAGAGGAGGCAGGTCTTCCTCTTTCCTCAATTAGTCCAAATTAGTGAGATTTTACTACATATTTAATCCCAGTGCTGCTACAGTTACCTGTAAAGGAGTAATTTATGTTACACATTAGGGAAGAAGCAGCAATTGATTTTTAGTTCTATTTGGCTTATCTTTTCTGCTTAAGTGCTGATATTTAATTTGTAGGCAAAGCTCTAAACAGGTCTGTATTTTTATGTTTATCCTCTTCCCTCAGCTAATGAAATAAACACATGTATTGATTTCAGAATCACCTTTATTAATGTAGTTAACATGCCTACTAATGTTATTTCATGTACTTGGATTAGGACCATTATTGTTTATGAATCAACATTTTTCTTTCAGGTCAAAGGAATATAGATGCTGCAGAAGAAAATAGGAGTGGACCTCCAAAGAAGAAAGTGAAGGAACTGAGAATTTTGGATCCCAAAACAGCACAGAACCTGTGTATGTAATATGTTTTGCATAGATGTGGTAGTGATGGCTTATTCAGTGTAAACAACCTTACAACCTCTTTGTCCAGATAAACTGTTAGAAACAAGATTCTATATAAACCTCCTACTGGGTCAGTTTGTTCAGATTTCACACTAGGAGTAGCGCCTAGTTTTACTGCAAATTGGTATTGCATGTTTGATTGATATCCCTGGGAGGCCTGTCCCTTTTTAAACTGAGGAGAGTGGATTTTGAGGAGAGGGGAGCGAGTAGAGCAGGACTGTCAGGAGATCAGGGAGGGAAAACTGTGGTCAGGATGTAATATATGAGAGAATAATGAAAAAGAAAGAGATACTATATAAATATAATCCAGGTTGCTTTTTACCACTTAACCAAAATGAAGAAAATAAAAATTGAACATTGTTTAACCCAGTGAAACCTATGATTTTTAGAGTTTTGGAAAATATTGTTAATAAAACTTCCATACTGAACATTATGAAATCTAATATAAGTTGGTATTGAAAAAATATTAAGTTTTTATGATTATTTTTCTGACTAGTACTGAGATTCATATTTTTTAGAAATATTCCCTAGTCAGTGTGAACATGTCCTTTTATTGCTATTTCTTTGTTTAATATAATTGTAATGTGATATTGTTAAATTGTTAGCCACTGCACTTTATGACTGGTTGCTGATCCTTGAGGCCTTTAGCTAAGCACTGAGCCATTAAATGTGGTATTGGTAACATAGCTGGACAGTTAAATTCATGTCCATTTAAGCCAGCATCTAAGTTTTACTTTGACATACTCTCTCTTCTGAATTGGATTTAGAATATTTTCTTTGATCACTAAAGAAGGTTTATAGATACGGAGGATACTAAAACACTCTGAGAAGTTTTAACACATGCTACATTTCTAATTGTACAAGAGTAATGGGAGAATTATTTGAGAATTAGATAAAGCAAACAGGTTATTATTCTGGCATTAGTCAAAATACAACTCCAGAATTTGTCTACTAATAGCTATCAACAATTTGTGCATTGCTGCAATGACAGTATTTTTTTTCACAAAGTTGTTTTTCAGTAACTTTTTTTCAGTACACAGTATGATCTTGTTTTCTGGTTAATATATGTCCATGAGATTTATTTAAGGTTTTGAGTTCTCATTCAGTCCTCATGTTGAGGCAACCATTTAAACGGTAATCATTTTGCTTTCAGTGCAGTCATCCAGAGCTTTTCGTAAAAAAAACATTAATATGTGATTTCAGGTTCTACTTCTAAAAGCATACCCATATTTTTAAGTGAATTTAATGGAGAATGGAATTGAATGTGTTGTTTAAAAGGACTGTCTTTGTAATTGTCAGCTATTCTAGGTAAAAATGAGTTGAATTCTCCCAACATGACATAAAATATATCCAATGAAGTAAATATTGACAGGATCATGATTCAGTATACGAAGAGAGTAATAGTTCACTACCTGAGAGTCAGCAGAAATTCAGAGTACATTGACGAGTCATGCACTTCAGCTCTTCTCTTGCAAAGTTTAGTAGTATCCTACCATATTTGTGTGGGATCTGTTCCAAAACTTCTTGTTGATGACTGAAACCACAAGAAGTACCTAATGCTGTGTGTCTGTCTGTCTCTGTGTATGTATGTATATGCCTTGGGTAAAGTTTATTTTATAAATTAGTCAGAGTCATATATTAGCAATAATAAATTAAAAATTTGATTATAACAACATTCCAGAAAGAAAAGTTACATGAATATGGCACAGTCACTTTTCCCTAGGAATACCTCATTGTACTTGTATCACTATTCACAGGATGATAGAAAATGATATGCTCCCAAAAGCAGCTCCTGCGATATTCTCCTTTGTATATTCAAGTGGGCTTCTTAAGTACTCATAAACCTTTGGGTTGTTGTTAAGAGTTGTATAGGTTGCTTTAAAGTAAGCAATGCCATACTTTCACAGCCAATCTGATAAGTCCAAAGGCTACTGTTTTATAACAAACTTTTAGTCATTGTCAAAAAATAAAAGAATAGTTCAGCTAAAAGAAAAAATATTTTAGCTCATTGTTTTTCAGGTTTTAGTCCATGGCTGGTCATTTTTATTGCTGTTGGCTTCAAGGCAGAGGAACAAAGTATCATGGTGGATCAAGGCTACTAACCTTAGAGTGGTCAAGATGCAGAGATCATGAGAGGGAAAGTTTGGGCCAGTATATGTGATTCAGATCATGCCCTACCAATTAAATTCTTTGAATCCTAACTCATCTTCTAATAGTATATTCAGCAATGTATTCAAAGTATCAATAGTACATTAACTTGAAGTCCACAATTGACTAGTCAAATCTCTTCTGGACCCATTCTGTTCTGAAAGCTCCATGTCTGAAAATTCCACTGGAGAGTAAGCAGTTAGCATTATAGTTGTTTGGAGAAGCATATCGTATCATAGCCATAAGAGCTATAAGATGATTAAGGAACAAGTGGCATGCATTTCTCAGATGTACTGTTAGATGAGATATAGGAGACAAGGTGAGATGGCATGCAATTTCATGGTGCTACTAAAAATAACACAATGCAAAACTCACTAATTCTTTCTTCAACTTCCTCCGGAATAAGTTTAGACTAAGATTGAGAAAGATGGAGTGATGTTTACCTTGTTGTCATTCCTTAGAAATTCTGTGTTGAATGTATCCAAAAATTTTGACATTGAAATCTAGATTGACTGCAAGAAGTCAGTTTGTGCACCTGGGTTAAATCCTGGTCCTGCTGCCAGCCCTCTCCCCAAAAGATCAAGCTACATAGCTGTCACCCACATTCAGAGGGGCTAGCTTGCTGCCATGCAGGTCCCCCAGCTGTCAGTCTAGAATCCTTGAGCTCCCACTAACTTGGATCAGCTTTCACTGTGGTTTTCCCAGTAATGATCTTGGTGGAATACCTTGCTTAGTCTCGATACAGTGGGAAGTGTCTTAGTCCTGCCTCAGCTTGGCTAGCCAGACTTTGTTGACTCCCCAGTGGAGGCCTTACCCCCCTCTGAGGAGTGGCTGGGGTGGAATAGGGAGAGGTTGGGGCTGAGAGAAGGAAAGGGAGGGGTAACTGCGTTTGGTATGTAAAATGAAAAAAATTAAATAAAACAGAAAGAAAATATCTAGATCGACTCAAAAGACCAATTTCACCTAATACTTTTTTTTAATTTTAAATTTTGGTTGATCATTTTGTATCAGCTTAATATAAAATCCCTGAGTATAGCATCATGAGAGATCTAAGTAGTAATTTTATTTTGTACATATGTATACTTGAGCTGCAGATGCTATAGGATATTTTGCCTATACGGATAGAATAGTGCATCAAATACTAATAACCTATAATTCTAAATTTTAGTATATAAGTGACAAATATTTCATATTTTTATCTATACAGTGGTAATTATATATATATATATATATATATATAATTGGACTTTTAATTTTTGATACTATTCTGTCTCTAATAATATCTAATTTTATTTTAGCTATCTTCCTGGGATCTTATCGCATGCCATACGAGGAAATAAAGAACATTATTTTGGAGGTTAATGAACAGTTGCTAAGTGAAGCTCTAATTCAGGTATATTGCATGCCTTTGGTTTTAAAATAACTTTCATAGAAGTTGTAGATGCATCTCTTAATGGTCTCCTGAAAAAAATAGTTTCTTACTCTGGATAAGAGAATCTGTAGTGTCTATATCTGTTTATTCCTGAGATGAGTCAGTCTTTAAGATCCAGGTTCCAGTTTTCTTTCTGCCATGCCTGAACTACTGTGCTTTTAAGTATAACTGTGCATTTATAGATATGACTTTCTTTGCATATCACAAAATTGCATGTATTTGATCCTCATAATGGGCCCATTAAATAGTTCTTTTATAGCCATATTATGGATGAAAAAGCTGAATGTTCTAAAGTTTTCATTTATATGGATTTTTCTCAGGATCCACAGGTAAATGTGGCAGACTATTCTTTCGTTGGGTATTATGTCAGGCAATTGGTATTTATTATCTCATTGAAGCTTAAAACATCTCCTGTGATAAATATCAGTGATAGTGTACCCCCTTTACCAAAATAGAATCTGAATTGTACGTTATTCAATATTAGACATTTGAAGTAACAAATGTAACCTTCAGAAAAATGTCTAAAGAGGCTGCAATTGTAGCTCAGTTGGCAGTGTGTTTGCTTTCCCTTCATGCTCTGACCTCCATTCCCAGCACTGCAAGAACACATGGTTACTCACTCCGGTAATCTCAGCACTTAGAAGGAGACAGGGAGGGTAGGAGTTCAAGGCCACCCTTGACTACACAGCCAGTTCAATGATAGCATAGTATACATGTGTGAGGCCCTGTTTGAAATAGGAAACACATACCAAGTAATTCATTTTATGTAACTTTAACAATTTATTTCCCCCATACTCTCTGTAAATATTAGAGAACCTGTATAAACAACACAAGCAAGTCATATTTCTGTGGATGGTTTATGTCTGCATCACAGTTTACCTCATGCATGTTTTAAATTTGGACGTGTTTACAGTAAGATTAAGGCTTAATGGGTTTAAACTGACTTTTTGCTATCATAATACACATCAATGTGACATGTTCGAAAAAAATCCTCTTGTAGGAAAACAGCATTAACTAGGTTTGCTTTATTATTTTTAAACTCTTGCAGGCAACAAGTGTGTTCATTGTTCCTTGACTTGAAACATGGAGCTGTTCCCATTCAGACACACACACGCACAAACACACACACACACACACACACACACAGAGAGAGAGAGAGAGAGAGAGAGAGAGAGAGAGAGAGAGAGAGAGAGAGAGAGAGGGAGGGAGGGAGGGAGGGAGGGAAGGAGGGAGAGAATTAATAATAATATAATAATAATTTAACAAATATGTTGTAAAAAAAAAGAAGGTACAATGTAGATGAAACACAGAAGGAAAATATTACCAGTCACATAGATGTTTGAAAAAGAAAGAGTTAAAGGCTTAGCAGGATGCATAGAGATCTCAAATACAAGAAGAGGTGAGACTGGTCAAAGTCAGCCTCCACACAGCAGGTAGGAAACTTCTGAAGCACCAAGTTGCCAAGCAGGATTTAAATTTGATTGACTTCTCTTACATCCCCAGAATGCAAAGTAAGATTTAATGTAACAATTTTAAATAGAGCTGTATTCAATGTAGACCAGAACAAATTAGGGAATTCATTAAACATCTATGTACGTTTCTACTGTATCAAAACTGTAAACAGTTCATTCCTCCCAATTAGACCAGATTCAAATAATTTAAAGAAAATCAAAGGTACATTTTACATATTATAAAATATTGAAGCAAAGGCATTCCATATTTTTATATACATACTTTGAAATCTAGTTTCATATATGGGATGTGCATAAATGAGAGTTTTTCTTTCTTTTATTTTCTAAAGTACTTAAAATCTTGATTTTTAAAATAATAATATTTATTAAAAATTAAACTTGCTGGAAATTCAACAACTTGATATGTCATATTTGAATTAGTTTTTCATCTGCCAAGGTGTTTAGAGGAAAATGTATAACGTAATAAACAAGTATGGCTACATTGATTGAATCTCCAAACTATGATCCCATCCTCTTAAAATTTCATTATATAGGCTCAAGATTAAAAAGCTTTCATTCTTGGGGTGTCACAAATATACCTACCTTGCCTTATCATATTTTAAAACAGAAGTTCCCAATCAAAGAAAAGAAGGATAACTAACTCACATTTAATTTTGTGCCTTGTTCTTTTCAGTTGTCATGCAAACAATCCCAGCACAGATTAGGTCAGTGTAGGTGTCTCTAGATGCCAGAGGCACCAGGTTCTCCCAGGAGGATGAGTTGCAAACAGTTGTAAATTACTTTGGGAGCTGATCTCAGATCCTCTCTGAGAACAGCACATTCATTCAACCCCTGACCCATCTCTCCAGTCTCAGTCTTCTGGGTTTTCATGGCTTCTATTTGATAAGCCTCTGTGAAAAGCCAGGTATTTAAGATGTATGATTGAATGATACACCAATAGAAGGCAACCTGAGATTTTAAGGTTACTATGGATGTATCTTATGTCTGAAGACATTCTGGTAAGGAAGAATGCTACTCTGGTGAAATGATTGTACTCTTGCTGCTCCCCCAAACACTGCTTTCCTCATGCTGAAAAATACTAGCATCACTAAGACCTCTTTTTCACTCCAAATTATATATGTTTGTTTCAATGATGCAAAAGTAGCATCAATTTGCCATTCATATGAGGTGTTTACCATTTATGTCTAATTACCATGTAGCACCATCGATAATATACAGCATTAAATATATATCATCAGATTAACTTTGTTGTAAGTTCTATTTGATTACAGTGCTAAACTCCATCCATGCATAATCACGGTTTGTTGCTCATGAACACAGTTTTTCTTCTCATAGGAACAAAACAACAACAACAAAAAGAAACAATTAAGGACACATCATTTCCAAGGAATTTGAATTAACACTGGTATTACATCTCCTAGAATGGGTAAATAAACTCTTCCTCACTAGATAGCTAAAAGGCTGTACTTATTTGGCAGAATAAAAGGCCTACTTTAAAAAAAAATTAAAAAAACTACTTTAATTTAGTCAACATGATAAAGATCAAATGTTAGTTATTAACAAAATACTAATTCCCCCTATGTCCATATGTCTCATATATTTCCATATATCAAAATTTCAGCTAGACATTGAATTCACTGTGCAGTAGAAACTGAAATGTTTTGCAATGCTATAACATATAGAAACATTTCAGCATATACTATATTTTCAGATTGCTCAGGAACATTTACTGTATGTAATTTAGCGTAATTTAACGTGATCATTTTAGACAAGAGAAAACAAAAATACATGCACATACTCACAAGACCAGAGTTTAATATGCTATAAATAATGTGTATATGTTAAACAAAGATATAGAACTGACCAAAAATGAAACTGGCAGTTTAAAAAATTTTAAACTTTTAGAGAAAAATTAAAGTATGCCTTATTTGAGATGACTAATGCTTGTGAATAATTTTTAAATGCTAGAAAATATATTGATAGAGAAATTATACTTATATTGCCAGGCATATATGAAATAAATAAGATTTACATTGGAGGTCGTATATAATGAAGAAAAGTTTTAAAAGAGATATTAGTTCGGTGCAATTGGAAAGGATTCAGCAGGTTGTCAACATGGAAGTATAAAATGGTTCATCTTTTAATATTGTTCTAATTAATATTTTGCATGTACAATGTACCAAAATAGTAATAACAGTACTTACAAACTGGCAGTAATAGAAGTAATGTTTGTTTCACATTACAGTTGTGGCAGATATCAAGAACCATTGTTTATACTCATTACTGTTTCAAAATTAAAGTACTCAGTAGGCCTGCTACTAGATCTTCCTTTTTAATGCTTTAATCAAGAAGCACATGTATTATTGCACACAACTTGCTTTGGTGAATATATTGACAACTATTTCAATACACTTGGTTTTATTTATAAAGATACATATTTGATTTTATTTTGAGAACTGGTCCCAAAGAAAGAAGTCCACGAGACAAGCAAGAAGTCTAGAACCTGATAGCTATGTTCCTGTGGGTGCTGTGGTTAAGGTAGTTTCCTGGAACAAATTCATCTTTAACTTGACTTGGAAGTATGATGGGGGAGGTCCTTCTGTGTATATGTTTATCTTATTGGTTGTTGAATAAAGTACTGTTGGCCAATGAAGAAGCAGGTTAGGCAGGAATAGGAGTCAAGGAGGATTCTGGGAAATGTAATAAAAGGAATTCTTGTGATATAGGCAGGAAGTGACATAGCGGGCAGACTCATATAAGCAGCGACAAATAGGAAGTTGTCCCTTTTCTCTTGCTCTTCCTCCTGCTCTCTGCTCTCTGCTCTCTGGAGCCACTATGTGATCTGCCTGCAAGAGAGGGTGCTTACCTCTGGCATCCTCCATAAGATAAGTCTTATGATTATGGTTGATAGTTAAGACTGAGCTAGAAGGTGTGAAATCCTAGTCATTGGCCAAGCAGCATTTGTACCTAATATAAGTCTCTGTGTGTTATTTGGGACCTTAATGTGGTGGCTGGCAGAACTCAGGTAGCCTGGCAGAAAGCACCCATGTGGCAGCAGGGCTCAAGCAGCTTGAAGTAAAGACTTATTGTTACAGATGTATTAATATCATTCAATAATGGTCTACTGAGACTGAATAATGGGCATTTACTTGAGGAATATAACAGATAGTATGTTTTATTACTCAGATGTTTTTCTGAATTAACAGAAGATAGTCATGAGCAAGCATATGGGAGATGATTAGTGAATTGGTTGGTGTCCTTCCTCTCACCCCTTCTTTTTCTATCTGTATCTATGTATTTCTGAGATATGCTTTATTTCAAATTTTAGATGCCCAAGTGCTAGAAATTTAATGTCATGTATATGCTACAGGCCTCAGAGTTCCTTATCTCAGTTACCCATTTTGACTTATTCCTAGATCCTGTGTACATTCAACTTTTTGACTCCTGGTAAACAAGTTGAATGTTAAACTATTGAACATTTAATTTTATGTTTAGGAAAATTAATGCAGCTGTAGCATATATCAAGTGGTTTTCTATCAATAGACTAAACAGGCAAATACAGAGTACTTTTTTAAAAGTATAAAATAATAGAGCCCTGAACTATACAGGCATCAGTTGTGTATATAACATGCTTTTAAAATATATTTTCATTGAAAATTTTTGGTTATAAGATGTTTGTACTACTTGGGGATAAAAAAAAAAAAAAACATGATAACCCAGGTAGAAGAACAATCCAGGACATAGTACATAGTAGAAAAGAACTACAGGCAGTATTACAGTAAAGTAAGTCTCAGGGATAGAATTGACGTCAGTATAGAAAACAAGATCAATGGACCATTTGGAAAGCACTGATTCTTTAAATATGAGAACTATTGAAATTCTTGAGTTTTCTAGTGAAAGAAAGGTGGTGACAAAAGATGAAGGAATTCATTTCTGTAGACCACATATGGTGAATCAATGGGTGGGGATAGTGAAAGCAGAATAAAAGAGATATGCGCATCAAACCAGGATAGATTATACTGTAGGTACCATAGAGCTGTAAGGAGTGATGAAGTGACAGATCAGGGACAGAAATACCTTTTGCATTTATTTTTAACTGGTGCATAGAAACATAAAATAGTTCATATCAATACAGTACAGTGTAAGTTTTGCCATGTATCTATATCTATCTAATCTATCTATCTATCTATCTATCTATCTATCTATCTATCTATCTATGATATTAAGTCTGACTAAACGTATCTCTTTAACTGTTTTTCATGTGATTATAGTTAAAACCTTCAAAATTTCTCCTTGTCACGTTTAACAGTTCATTAGTGTGGCCTGTAGTCGTCCTACTGCATAGAGCTTCCTTTTGTATTACCACTTGCAGCTACATCTGGCAGTCCTTATTTTGTAGGTCTCCCTTAAAATGTGCTAAACTTTAAACCAGACCCCTGAACTTTCTAAACAGATGTTTGTTTTATTTACGGTGTTCTGCCCTCTGCTTCCCATCGTTTATGAAACAAGTGCATTCTTGCAGAGGAGGGAAATTCCTGTGGTTTCATTTGCAGTTGTCTCATCGTGTACCTTTTTCTGTCTTTTCCTTTGTTCATGCTGTGTGTGGTAGAAGGCTAATGTAGATACCAATAATACCTTAGATGAAATGCAGCTCTACACAACTCCTTCATAACTGCAAATTCATGCACAAGAATGTTTCTACTTGCCCCCTACTTCAATGTATTTCTGACTGCCTTATGGTTCAGAAACACAGTTGAATATCTCATAGCGCAGTGCACACAAGGCACAAAACCTACAGCTTCCCACATGATTATGTTTTCTCAAATGTGATTTTTACAACCCAAAACAGATTACATGATCTATATAACTGATTCTTGAATACTGACAAAATGATTAGATAGAAGCAAAGGTCCTTCAATCCATACCCTGGATTTCAGGCAGTGCTACACCTAAGTCATCAAAGATAAATGGGTAGCTATTGATTCTGCAAGAAAAAAGATTCTTCAACTTCCCTCAATTAACCAGTTCTAGTGTATAATTATTCTTATAGTCAGGAAGTTCATGCATGTGTAATAGTCGAGCTCGTTTTTGTCTCTTCAATCCATCTTTGTAATCATTGATCTATTTATGTGGCTATCGACCATCTGTATTGTATGCAAGCTTGTGAGTCTGCATGTTTGTGCACTTTACAAGACTTGATGGCTTTAGAAGGCTACAGGTATATCAACTAAGGCTATGAAAGCATTAGCATTGTAGAATTTTAGAACATTTTTTTCTCCTTAATAAACAACTTATATTCTCCAAGTTTATTTTCATAATTTTTCAGGGAAATTGAAACATTAACAATGACAAGAACAATCTTGACATTTCTTTCTTATTTCTCATCTTAGAGAAGTATTTTGCAATGTTACTACAGTCCACAAATATTTTCATCCATGAGCTGCTATTGTTTTTCATCTTTTGCTTCTAACCTCTTATCAGATGAAATTTTAAAAGTGTATTCTCATGTCTGTTTTGACAGCAGTTTTGTTTTTGATCATTGTGCACTAATTTCAGTCTATTGTGAAGCTGAATCTTATCCATACAAATATTGCATCTGCTCATTGCCATTTTGTACAATGTTGATATTTTAAAAGAATAACCAGTGTTTCATTTGTTACAGTCACTGATTGTGTTCTTATTTGCAAGGAAAGAAAAGGTAGCTAAGTAATGAATGTTTTATTATATCAATTAGAAAACAGGATTTTGTTAGTAGTTGTGCAATACATTGCCTCATAGATCATTGATTTTCCTGTCTTGCACACTTGTAGCTACAGTAAAACTTCACAGACTTTTCAATCATTTCATACTGTTGGTCTTTGGATACTATTGGACAGAGGGGATGATCAGAATAGACCAGAAGTTTCCTTTCAGTTGTACTTATAGCTTTGGAAGTATCTGCCTCTTTACACATAAACTTCTAGAACTCTACTACTAAGAAATGAAAAGCAAAATTATTCTACTAGCTCTATATTAACCTGAGACTATGGGACTACTTCTAGCCAAAAAACAATAGTCCTTTAACTTAAGAAATGAGTGGAGCAGATAGCAGTTACAAATGTTCTTGATCTGAAAAATCAAGTTACAGAAAACAATTGCATTTTCACCACTAGCTTCCAACTCATTTTAAAGTATGTAAAATGAGTTGAAATATAAAGATGATGGCATTAAACAAATCATAACCCTTTGTAATTGATCACATTTCTAAAACCACCTTTTGTTATGTTCTAAGGATGACAGTCAGAAATTTTCTATACCTCAGGACTGTCTTCATATAGCATAGGCGTTTTCCAAGTTTCTGTAATTCTGTATCTTCAATGCAAAGTACAATGCAAAGTACCTAGCCATCACATCCATTAAATACATTTGATTCTTAAATTATACTTTATTCCAAAATAGTATAAACATAGTACATCATGCTTTACTATGTTAGCTCAGCATAATATATAGTTAACACAACCGTATGTTAACTTTTTAAAATATTAGACGAGCAGTCAAGAAGAAAAATCCAAGTGAGAGTTAACTGTGGTTTACATATTGACTCCTTTTATATAAAAATTTTTATATCTCCATAACAAAATTAATGCATTAAAAGTTTCTTGATAGTGAACACACATAAGGCATATCCCTTACTTTGGACTGTGATATTTTGAACAGTGGATTGGGGGGATTCTATCTTCTAGATGAAAGTACTGGTACTCACTGCCCCTTATGACTTTAGTTTTTTTCCAATGAATATAGGGAATCAAAAATTGTTCCCAGATGCAAACCATTATGTTAAGATTTCCTTTTGCACTTGATAGAAAAGTTGTAAAGTTTCAGAATTTCAAGTTTCTAATTATTTGGGTTTTTTTCTTAGTTTATTACAAACCTGGTGGCTTTGGCTGTATACATTTGTTTAGTATTGATCAAAATCAAAACTGTAACTTTAAGAAACCTACTTCTATTTCTGGTAAAATGGGTTGTCACTCAGTTGCAAATAGCCCTGGTCAGGTATTGTTTATATTAGAGGCAGCAAAATACTCATTTCTGAATGCATGTAATGATGTTATGATGAAGTGGCTTTTTCTGCTCTATATCCAGAGCTTAATAATGTTAACATATTCAATTTATGTGATTTAGCTTTAAAATATGGCAGGTAAGTTAGATAATATTATACAATTATTCTGGGATCAGAAAATTAGTTCATATGATACTTGTCTCATTGACCTTTTTTTTTTGGTTTTCCGAGAGAGAGTTTCTCTGGCTTTAGAGGCTATCCTAGAACTAGCTCTTGTAGACCAGGCTGGTCTCGAACTCACAGAGATCTGCCTGCCTCTGCCTCCCGAGTGCTGGGATTAAAGGCGTGTGCCACCACCGCCCAGCGCTCATTGACCTTTTTAAACACCATTGTTTACCTATCTTTCCCCCTACTGTGTTATATAGGTGAGTTACTGACTTGATTTTACATTTGGAAAGGTATAAGGTGTATCTAATAAAGGTTTCCCATCTAAACAGGT